GTGGAGGCATGTGGCCAGATGCCAGCTTTCACAGAAAGAAACCAGGTAGAAGTAGGGTCCAGATCCTCTGCTCCCTAGCCCAGCCTGTACCGGAGGGCATCAGCAAAAAGCTGTGGTCTTTAATTTCGACAATGCATCAAGATGAGGTTACAGGTGTCGTCAAAACAGAAAAAGAGATTCTGAGCCTCGGAGAGCACCTGCACTTAAAACATGGGCATGATAAGACTAAACATGATTACATTAGGCAGAAAATGAGCAAAGTCAATTCGGTTAATCAACAATGCAAAAATGGCAGGGAAACTGAAAACAATTGAGGATTTTCTTATTCCTTCCAACTTACCAGTAAGGGCAGGCTATGATGAGGAAACAAATGTATACAAAACTCAATCCTTGGCCCTCAAACTCGGTTATAGCCTCAAAAAGCTTGCAGATATTCTTGAATGTGACTCAAAAATGGAGCAATGTGTTGATGAACTGTTTATAAAAAACCTCCAACGAAGCCGGCTACTTTTTAAGAGGTGGGTCATCTGTTTCTTATGCTGCCCTACAGACCCTCCGCCAAACAAAGTGGAACACTCCGGACCTGCTCCCTCTGACTGAGGATGTTAGAGCCATGCATGCACATATCGAGGTACTGTATGTCGGCATGAATATGTGCAGACCCTAAAGAATGAACCAACCCCTAAGCACTGGCCTAAACTGGTCTAAACTCACAAAGAGTCAACTCTTTGTGAGGTCATTATTTTCAATCGAAGAAGGGAAGGTGAGGTTTCAAAGATGCCACTGACAGTGTTTACTTTAAGAAGTAAAACTGGGATTCATTCTGAATTTGCTTTTGGACTGTCCGAAATTGAAAAAAAGCTGTGTCAGCATTTTCAACGAATTGCAATTAAAGGGAAAAGAATTCGGAAAGTGCCGGTTCTGTTGACTCCTGAAATGATTGCTCGATGGAGGTGCTGGTGGAGAACAGAAGGGCCTGTTCCATCTCTAACCATAACCCACACTTCTTCTCCCGCAGACACCCACATCAGGGGATCAGACTCTCTACGGCAGGTGGCCAAAGAATGTGGTGCGGTGCATCCAGAGATGTTATCCTCAACCAGACTTAGAAAGCACATAGCTACTATGTCTACAGTTCTTAATATGAAATGGCCATACGAGCAAACTTCCTCGGCCATGACATTCGCATCCACAGACAATATTACAGACTACCAGAGGGGACACTGGAGCTGGCCAAAATCAGCAAAGTGTTAATGGCCATGGAGCAGGGAAGAGTGACGGAATTCAAAGGAAAGAGCCTCGACCAGATACAAATTGAGCCTGCAGGTAATTCTTTATTATTAAAATATACTGTATACATGTATTTTTAGGTCCGAGCCCCGAACGGGGTAAGGGCCTATTGCTTTCACAATGGTGAAAACAAATGGTGGCGGTGCGTGACGGACGCGTCAGCGCCCGTCACTCACCAAAATGTGACGGTTGCGTGCGTAAACTCAAACGCTTTAAAATGATGTATCACATGCCATTGAAACCTATATTGTTTTTGCTCGAGACGTTAAAAAAAAAATTCCTTTTTTATTTATTTCTTTCTTTTTTCTTCTGCACTTTGAGCCTTAATTTGACCCCCTGAACATGCATGAAAAGTTGTTAATTTTGGCCCAAAAATCAGACCTGGCGAAAAATTTGATATTTTGGTGTTTATTTTTATGGGACTCAAAAAATGACAGAACAGCGCCACCTACAACAGCCAAAATAATACCCCTATGGGACTTTTCGGAGGTCAAGTTTGTCGTAGAAACATGAGATTTGGTACACATATTCCTCAAGTCAAGACAAGAAAAAAATATTATTATGGCCCCGCCCTCAGACAAACAGGAAGCCCATAAATTTCACTGCAAAATGGAAAAATGAAAACCAATCATTCTCATACACGTTGGTTGGAAAGCGACTCCTCCTCGGCCGTTTCACTGATTGGCCTCAAAATTGTTACAAATCATCTCAACACATTTACCTTCAAAATGACTTCAGGGATTTTTGATCAGTGAAACATTGTTCGAGCAGCGGAGCGGCAAAATGGAAAGTTTTTTTCTGCCGTTTTTGACAACATTAATTTTGCTCCTGTTTGCACAAACAAAGTCTGATTAGCACAAAACTTTAATACATTGTTCAACTCTAGGGTCTAGGTCATTTGAAAGTTAAATGATTCAAATTGACACATTAGCGCCCCCTACAGACTATTTCAAAGTTTTAGATTGGCATTTTCAAATTTAGTTTTTTCAAAATGTTTGAAATTTTGCACATAAATCTGTTTTGCCCTCTTGATTCAAAAAGTCAATGGGGTCCAAGGCTTATTTTTTACCCTGTTGCCGTGGCGACGACAAACGCTCAACATTCATTGCAAATGTACACCTCACACAAACATCAAACCAGCCTCGGCCGTTCCACCGATTCGCCACAAAATCGCTCCACATCATCTCAACACATGTACCATCAAAATGATTTCAGGGAATTTTTATCAGTGAAACGTGGTTTGAGCAGCAGAGCGCCAAAAAGTGGCGTGTTTTTTTTCAGTTTTTGACAATAGAAAAATTGCTTCCGTTTGCACAAACAAAGTCTGATTTGCACGAAACTTGAATCCATGGTTCAACTCTTGGGTCTAGGTCATTTGAAAGTTACATTTTTGAAATTGGCTCTATAGCGCCACCTACAAAAGCCAATTTAAAAATGCCTATGGGAGGGGTTCGAGGTCAAAATTTTCGTAGAACCATGTAATTTGGTACACATATTCCTTAAGTCAAGACATGGAAAAAAATGTATTATGTCTAATCCCTCTGACAAACAGGAAGCCCATAAATTTCACTGCAAAATGGAAAAATGAAAACCAATCATTCTCATACACGTTGGTTGGAAAGCGACTCCTCCTCGGCCGTTTCACTGATTGGCCTCAAAATTGTTACAAATCATCTCAACACATTTACCTTCAAAATGACTTCAGGGATTTTTGATCAGTGAAACGTTGTTTGAGCAGCGGAGCGGCAAAATGTGAGGGTTTTTTTGGCCGTTTTTGACAACATACATTTTTTCCCCGTTTGCACAAACAAAGACTGATTTGCATTAAACTTGAATCCATTGTTCAACTCCAGGGTTTAGGTCAGGTGAAAGTGAAATATTTGAAATTGGCCCATTAGCGCCCCCTAAAGACTGAGTCAAAGTTTACATGGGGAGCCAAACCAGCTCTACTTATCATATTCATTACAATTTGACTAAAAATCTTCTATGGCTACGGGAACCAATCATCACACAACGGTGCCACCTCCTTTGAGCGGTGCTGCGTGGTACGGTGTGGTGCGGCGGAATGCGGGGCGTTGTGGAGCGGTGCGTTGCGGCTTGGTGCGGGGCGGCGTGAGGCGGGACAGCGGCTTGGTGCGGGGCGGCTTGGTGCGGGGCGGCATGAGGCAGGACAGCGGCTTGGTGCGGGGCGGCGTGGAACGGGGTGGTGCGCGCGGTGCGGCGAGGGCCGTTCGACGCCGCTTGCGGCTTTAATTTAATAATTATTTTCCCCTAAATAACACTATTTAAGTGTTTTTTTTTTTCTTTTCTGTGCTACAGGGAGAGCATTAGAGAAATGGACGGGCTAAAAGAAACTTCCAGCATTCAACCAGGTCCACCACATGGTAGTGGCAGCGCCCCTTCTGGTAAGTGAACCAGGTGGAGGGTGGCTGCTTGGCCCTAACCCTGGGAGTGTATATTTCTAATCTTTTTATTTCTCTCTCTAGAACGTGTAAGAAAGCCATGGTCTGCATCTTAGGTGAAGGCTGTGGAGAAGACCATGATGATTTTCATACAGACTGTAAAAGTCCCTGGGAAGTGTCACTGGCTGGCCTGCATTAACGCCTCACCAGATGACCTTAGACATCGGACATGGAGTGGCATTAAATTCTATGTAAAAAATAGAATCATTGCATTTGGAAGAGAAAAAAATTATAATAAAATTTCCGAATCTTCTAAAAGATTTCTGTTTTGTATTGACTGTTTTGGAATATTTTGTATTACTTAAAGTAGTCCTAGTAAAAAAGATCAGTGCAGAGTAACTATCTAAAAAAAAGATACAGCAAGATTTTAGGAGTTAATACCGTGTCTGAGGGTCCCATGTGGAACGGCCCTGTCTTAGGGACCCACCAGGTAACAACGTGTGTGAGGACGCGTGCGTTTGGTTGAAGCTGTGGTCAGATCAAGCCAAGATAAAACTGTTAAATGGCGGGGGCTGCTTGTCTTTCACAGGGAAGAGTATATGGGGATCCACAAACATCCACAAGTCAGATTGGATGTTCACCATCAGTGCTATTTCCTTAAACATTAAGACTTTTCATACAATGGTTTTAAACAAAGCCTATTCAAAGTCCAGACCTAAATCCAAGTCTGGAAAACTGTTGCTCACAAACACTCTCCTTCTAATCTCAATGAGTTTTTTGTAAGAACGAAAGGGATAACTTGTCATTCCCCAAAACGGGTTTCCATCAAGTATTTCCTCATGATGTATGATCACTTATGCAAACCAACTTTTACAATTTAGATTTATTTTGAAATAAAAAATCTTTTCTGTTCCTTTCACTTTTAGTCTTTCAGTAAAAATCCAAATGAAGTGTGTTTGTGATTGTAACATCACAGCATTGTCGCTTTTGCAGGGCCCTGTATAGGTCCTCATGGCGCACTCTGTAAAATATTTACTAATCAACCTTTAAGTGCGGCCAGATTTCAGTTATGTGGTGAAGTTGATAACTTTAGTCCTTGGCATGTACAGTAAATTGGCATTTGTGTTGGCTTTGATTTCAGATCTGATCACTGTCTACTTATGACAATTCTAATGAAAAAAGATATGATCATAACAGCAGATCTATTAGTGTGGTCATTTTGTATTTTAATTGAATTCTAGGCTTTTTCTTAATCATTTCAAATTAAAAGCTTTTCTTAAATGTTTTGATAATTAAAAAAACACTCACTTCAAACTCCATAGCCAACAGCAGTATCAGGGGCAGCAGCATGATTTCTGATGTTCTGTCTCAGTTTCACCTTTTCAATAGACTTCCTGTAAAGGAGGATGTGAGATTCGAGCAGGTTGTGTAAGGCAAGGCAAGGCAAGGCAAGTTTATTTGTATAGCACAATTCATACACAAGGCAACTCAAAGTGCTGAACAAGATAGCATTAAAATCATAAATAATCACAGAACATCAAAAAGAAAGATAAAGATATAAAATCCCGCAGTTGTATGCACAGCTAAACAGAACCGTCTTTAACCTGGTTTTAAACATTGTCAGAGAGGAGGCCTGTCTCACATCTTCAGGAAGATTGTTCCAGATTTTAGCAGCATGAATCTGAAAAGCAGCCTCCCCATGTTTAGTTCTGACTCTGGGCACTAACAGGAGTCCAGTCCCTGTGCTCCTCAGAGTCCGGGCTGGTTCATATGGGACTAACATGTCACTAATATATTTTGGTGCGAGGTCATGGAGAGACTTGTAACAAGCAGAGCTGTTTTAAAGTCTATTCTCTGAGACACAGGAAGCCAGTGCAGAGACCTGAGGACTGGACTAATATGGTCGTACTTCCTGGTTCTAGTCAGGACTCGAGCTGCTGCATTTTGAATGTACTGCAGCTGTTTTACAGCCTGTTTGGACAGACCTGTGAGCAGGCCATTGCAGTAGTCTAACCTACTGGAGACAAATGCATGGATAAGAATCTCCGAGTCTGCTTTAGACACTATGTTTTTGATCCTGGCAATGTTTTTTAGATGGTAAAAAGCTGCTGATGTTACTGATTTGATGTGGCTATTAAAATTTAAGTCTGAGTCCAGTATTACCCCTAGATTTCTGACGTTGTTTGAAGGTTTTAGATAGAGAGAGACTGTAGGTGACAGATGACGCTCTCTCTTTGTTTCTGGGGACCAAAGACAATCATTTCAGTTTTGTCTGCGTTTAGCTGAAGAAAGTTGTTTTGCATCCACTCACTGATCTGTTGGATACAGTGAAGGAGTGAGTCCACTGGTCCATGTTCTCCTGCAGTGAGTGAGACATAGATCTGAGTGTCGTCTGCATAGTTGTGATAGGACACATGACCATGTGTGGCAGAAAGCAAAACTGCTTTTTAGAGTAGACTTTATAGAGCAGTGTCTCCCAAAGTGGGGTCCGCGGCCCCCTGGTGGGCCGCGAGGGTACTGCAGGGGGGCCGCGGGAGGTCATAAAAAAAATAAAAAAATAATATAATTATTTAATGTTAAATTTATAATGTTTTGTTTGTAATATTAAAATATTTGTGTTCATTATTTGACTTGAATAATCCACTGTAATCATTTTTGTATTACAATGTTTGTAGCAGAGGCTATTTCCCCAAAATAAAATAACCAGAAGAGCCTATTCTTAATGTTTTCTTCTTGGTTATTATTTTGGGGGGCCACGCAGACCCGTCAGATTTTTAAGGGGGCCTCGGTGTTACTGAGTTTGGGAATGGCTGTTATAGAGAAATGGACAATGCCAACACACACAAACCTAATAGGGAAGTGCTCATGGGTCAAGTTTTGTTCCACTGCTCTCTGGCTCCCATTCACTTATATTGAAAAGTAAACTGGTCTTTCTCTGTCAGTTATCGTGTGTGTCACAGTCGTCATGTTGACCTTGGTCGGTGGCTTAGCACTATGACCCTTGTGTTTTTTTAATTTCATTTATTACTTTTGTAAATCTACATATGTCAGAATCAGAATCAGAATCATTTTTATTGCCACGTAAGTAACAGGAGGTCACAGACTTGGAAACTGCTTTGGCTCGGTGCAACAGTCAGAGAGAATAAAATAAAAATAAAAAACACAAAAAAACACAAAAAAACCAATTACTATAAACAATAAACAGTGCACATGGTGCACACAATGTAAGGTGACAGCAGTACAGTGAGGTAAAGTGACGTATGATGTCCCCCATAAATTAGAAGCCTTCTACCCTCCTCTTCCGCTTGCGAGTAGTGTAAGCGGTATCACTCTGCTCAATGCCATCCACGAATATGGCTCCAGATTCTCAGAGCATATATATTTTAGAGAAGCTCAAAGCAACCTTTGTGCAGGTAGTTTTAAGAAAAGAAAAAAAAGTAAAGGTACACTATAAGTTAATGTTTTGTCTGAAATGTTCCTAATATAAATCCCAAAACATGCTCAAATATAGCCTGACACAGCCATCCAAAATTGGTAAGTACTGTCTGTACACTGTAAGTAAATCCAAATGACCAAGTCAAGCATCAGCATCAACGGGACATTTTGCTCCTGACCAATGGCTCAAATGAACAGGGCACATTCTTGATAATTAAAATCACTTGGGAGCTAAAGCTGTGCAGAGTCTTCTCCATTTCTTTCAACTCTAGCACACTGCTCAGAATTGGATGTGCGCGTCAATCTCACTTTTGCTCTACTTTATCTTATCTCATCTTAATTCCAAGTTAAAACAGTTTGTTACAAGGTGCAAACAAATCAACCCTTTAAACTACACAATTGTTTTTTTTTACTGTGCTCATTTTTACATGATTGTGCTTCACTTTATGCACAGTCATTAGTCATTCATCCTGGCTCATCCTCGTGTGTCCATCACCGGGAACTCCCCATTGTCCCTCAGCGTCTTCCTACACTCGTGTTGACAACGGAACTTGATATTGATAGATAACAATAGCGGGCTGACCTTATAGAGAAGAGAAGACACAGACATGACACTGATTCAGGATTTAAAGCACAAATGCAAGATGAGTTTTCATTTTTTCCAAAACTCGTTCTCCTGAATGTCACTTTGAATACACAATAATAAAACTGAATAATGCATGGAACACTCTAAAAACATCTCTAGGTAATGAGCACGAATCTGTTTTTACTGTAAAACAGATTCTGTAACTGTAAAAGCATGACTGATGGGGAGCGACTACTTTTGTCGTAATAAACTGTACAGTTCAGAAACGTCCTGCAGCTGTGCAGCTTTAGATTTATGTCCAGGAAGAATAACTGTGTCAGAGTGAGCCAAAACAAGGCACATGCTGCTCTGTATGTTCCTGTACACTTTTATTACCACTTTGTTTGGCTGTCGGTATATTGAGAGAAGTACCAAAGAGAATGTGCTGGTTTCTCCACAATCAGACGACTTCAGCTGTAAACAATGTCATGCGTGTAAACTGGCAAAAACACTATTTCTACTAACATATATTTTGAACTTGGCATTACTATTGCTAGCTTTTTAGAATGATCTATGAATACATAAAATTAGATTAAATACAATATTATCATGAGTAAGTGATAAGAGCATCTCTGACCAATATACTTGTAATTACTCAACTCTAAATTATGTTGTTTTTAGACCCTGTTCTTTGAGCTCAGTCCGTGGTATATTATGCGTGTTACAATAGTTTAATGAATTAGCTAGAATATACTCAGTTACAAGTTTATAATTACCGTTATGTTATATCTTTTATAACAGAGTACTTGTTATACTAGAATGGAAAAACTGGGTTGTTCCAGTTAATCAATCGACCAATCAAATGTATTTGTATGACACACTCTGGAAAAAAAACTCTGGCTTTCAAAAACAACATTTGTATTTTAATGACTCTTATAATGCTAAAGTCATGAAGCAGTAGTAGTTCATCCCTTCGGCCAGTATGATCATCAGATCTTAGGTCACATGTTTTCAAAGATCTCATATTTACACTAAGAAAATAAGAATTTTTAGAAACAGTTGAAGATATGTGTTTTTACTTATTCCTCCCTTTTCCAACACCTTCTACTATTCAAACATCATACTTAAAAGTACATGATTCAGAATTGCGCTTTGGTTGGTTGTGAAACTGCTGGAGTGGAGGAGGAGGGGGCTGCTCCCACAGGTTGTTAGTGTCCAGCTGCACTGACTGCATGTTTCTGTCAGCGAGCTTGTTCACAGCGCACTCTTTAGCCCTGATTGAGGAAATCCTCTGACTGTTCACTGGGTTTGCTGAAATAAATGTCCCAATGGTTCCGCCCCACCCCCTGTCCCTCCACAGCCCCTCACACACTTTCCCATGGAGCGGATTGAATGTTGACAGATATACATTCAAACTGGCACTAAATGAATACAAATAAGGAAATTGAAAGACTGAATAGAACCGTTTACGATGTGTCTGAGAAAGAAGTGTTTTTTATGTAATTGTAGAACACCATGTCACCTATAAATAGTTCTTTTGGGAATCTTTGAGCCTTTAATGTTGAATATTTATATTTTTACTTGAATGATTCCTCACTTTTCCAACACATTCTACAATTCAAATGATCATGTTGTTTTTTTTTTTGTCCTGTAAATATAACAATAAACCTACAATTAGCTAACTTATCTAATTTGGACAGTAAAAGCACATTTTAAAACATGTCTTTGGTGTGAATAGATTTGTGGACAGAATTGCAGCTCTATGAAGACAACGTCATTGACCCAAAGTCAAAGTGCACCTTACATTAGGATTTTTGTCAGTTTTATTTTCGGAGTGCAGCTGCGACTGCATTGCCCCTGGGAGAATAAAAATGACTTCTGTGTAACATCCATTCATTGCCCTGAACCAACCGGATTCTCAGCTTAATAGAAGCCACTTGGAAAAGGCCAGTGCTAGAACTGTAGCATGGAGGCATTTTTCATCTCATCTGTAAAGTATTCAAACAATGTGTGAATTTGAGTAGTTTCCTGAAACAGATCAACCCGTGGTTTGTTTCTTTACTGACCTCTTGTGGTTACATTTGTGGCGTCTTTGTCATCCAACAGTAACAGTATTGACAATATGGAAATACAAATCAAATTGTGATCCTAATCCTTCATCCTTCATGTTGTTGTTCATATTCTCTTCCTCATCAGTGCACCACAGGTCTGGAAACTTCTGCAGACTGTAAGCCTCGGGTCATTCCTCTCAATTCTCCAGTTTTCTTTAAGGACACAAAGGGCTGCTCTATAGTTGTGAATTATGGTCTTCCTGTAAATGATTACTGCATGTGTGAGTGAGTGATTGTGATTTCAGGTCTGTATCTGTATTCCAGGATACATATAAACACATGTAATATGCACTTCTCATATTGTAATGGTAAAATGAAGTATAGGTTGTGCGCATGTGACATTCAAAAGAACCTATAGATTAAAGTTGCGGTGGAGGGCAGCTGAAAAAGGTTAAAACTGTCAAAAGTGTCTTTGAGTGTCCAAATAAGTTGTATTTAAAACCTATGCTATGTTATTATCATTGAGTCAGACCAATCATCAGACTTAATAATCGTCAGACAGCTATTTTTTCTGTATTTAGACCATATCAACCCCGGCCTAATTATTTTATCATAAAAGTGTGGAGGTGGTGAAAATATTGTATTTAATAATTGACCAGTAAATAGATTTTCAGACACAAGAATAACATAATAAGATGGTTTGTGGATCCAATCACTATCAAATAATAATCATTTGAATATTTGAATATTTTCCGACATTTAAAAAATAAATAAATGCTTTTTTACTATTGGAGTTGTATTAGCACCTTTCTCTCCAATCTTGAATGCAGCCTAAGGTTAAGGCATATACTTAACCTCTTAAAGATCCACAATAATAAAAAATAAACAGATTAAATGACATCCTGTAACTTGTAAGCGCAGAGAGAGACTAGATGTTTCTTTTATCAGCTACTTGTGCCATGCATTTGCCTTGTCCTACATTCCTTCCTTTGTGAGCGAGCTGCTTTGGCGGAGATTCATTGCGTCTCCGGTCGTTTCAGAGGAAGGGTCTCTGCTCTCACCTCTGGCTCCGTGCTCCGATCCGCCGCTGAGCTTTGATTGTCTGGTTGTTTTTGAGCAGAGTCGTGTTGTGGTGATGACTCGTATTGTTTTCCATAATTTCTTCTTTGGGATTTCCTTCTCAGCGCGGCCCACCCCTCTACTCTGTCTTTTAGGGGCTTGCCAGAAACTTTGGCACATAAAATCTATTGTTCTTGTCTGTTACAGAAGACATCAGTGACTTCTGAGTGAGGATGTTATCAATCAGTTTTACAGTGAATTGTTAGCTTGGAGTTTTGATGAAATTATATTATTAGTTTGGTGATTTAGTGGACAACTTGACCCACTGGCAGTTATGTTTTCATTGCACATTTTATATTGTAGTATTCACTCACTGGTCCATCAGTCAATTTGACCAGAATCAATTATTCAGAAATAATGACACTATGCATTTGTCCTTGTTAGAATTCAGGTGCATTCATCAGATAAAAAAACAGTTTTGTTTGCAGTGAAATAGGGTTGAAAATTATGCATTATTATTCATGGGCATTAGGGATGAAAATTATGATAGTTAACCTATTAATTGTGAAATAACACAGTATCTTAAGTCAAAAATGTATTGTAAAACATATATCAAGGGTAAACAATGCTTTCGGCCTGGAACTCCGTTTGCTGCCACCAGAGGGAAAGAGGACACTCCCCTCCTTTTTTTTCCAAATAAGAAAGCGACTGCAAACACAGCCATGTGATTGTAAAGCACATTGTTTGACTCTATAAATTGCCACAACAAATTTAAGGGCACTACTTTTGTTAAAAGGCAGAAAACTGCTCTGAGTGTGATGTCATAGTGGTACAATGACATCATACTATTACTGGACTGAGACAGAAGCTTTTAGACATGTTACAAGTTTGTGCCAGAAGTGTCAGATATTAGCATGGATGGATTTAAAAACAACTCCAGCTCTGTTGTTTTATGAGGAACACTGTTGTAACATGGTTAAAAGCTCAAAAACGTGTTATTTCTGTGTGAATTTTAGATTGTTTTGTCAATTGATTGGTGTGTAAACTTTCACTGCAGAAAGACATTTTGGGTGTGACTTTATCAGTTGACTTGAAAGAAGACATTGTTCTCCTCTATATAATAAGTCGTAAAGTGCACATTTACATTTACATTATTAGTGCGACTTGGGTTGGCTGCCTTTTGGAGGCTCGAGACAATATATTGTGCCGACAAATGATGCAGAGAAGAAAATCTCTACCAGATCAAAAGCACAACATGTACATTTGTTCTACATTCAGCAAACAACATTCAATAGATAAACTGGACTGAAATGCAGTTTTCTTAATGGTTTTGGCCCAGAAACTATACTGTTGATGAATGTTGACTGAAAGGTGCCCCGTGTAAGTGCTATCTCCACTCTGACGCTCCTTTGAACCTATAGCTCAAGGGGGGTGGTCCTGACACATGTCCCTAGTTGTACTGAAGGATGGGTCAAATCAAAGGCAGAAGACAAAATTCCCAACCGAGACGATAGATGACATATCAGCCTTTTCTTACCCTCCAATTGAAATAAAGCATTGCCTTTCATTCCTTCAAGGTTTGGAGAATGGTCAAATCCTCAAATTGTGATGTTCCTTCTCACATGAATGTCCAAACTAAACATGACATCGTGACACGCGAGCCTCAGTGATGGGTTTCAGACTCAGCTGATGGCTCCGCAGACTTCCTCAGCTTCTGGAAAAGTGATCATGTCAGTTCAACAAGGAAGTGATGTATGGCTGCTCCAGACACAAAGTGAATCGGCTCCATTAATGTTTCGACATATCTTTTGAATACAAGGCTCTGTCTCTGGCTCTCTACAGACACAAAGAAAGAGAGCCATGTACTTATTCTACATTGTACTTGAGTAACCTTTTGAATACATGTTTATCCATAAAAATTCTACCATTAATCATATTCCAGTTATTCCAGTCAGCTCTGCAAATAAACTAAATCCCTAATAATGAATATGAATTTTGTTAATGTTGTAAAGTCCACTCTGAATATAGCACTGTACAGTTCACCCAAGAACCATCCTCCACTGATTAAGAGCGTAATCAAGTAATTCATCTTTATTTAGATAGCGCCTTTCACAGACCAGAGTCACAAGTTGATCAACCCAGGATAAGACATAACCGTGCATGCTCACCAATGACATGTGAAGTGAAAGAAAATTAAAATGTCGTTCAAAAGTTCATTTGTGTGAAGCCGATATATGACTCATTCCATGCAAAGTGATGCATACAAGCTTTTGTGTTATTACAAGCCTTTTCATAATCATGGCTTAAAGTCCATTTTCAAAATGTTTTGATATTTGGGTTTTTTCAACCTGTGTCGAGCCATTATTATCAACATTAAAACAAAAAAAGGCTTGGTATATCTCATGTTGTTTGCAATGATTCTATATGTTTCACATTGTTGTTGAATAACTATGGACTTTGAACTATATTTTACAAGTTTTACCTGCAATTACTGTAATTTTTTTCTATAGAGTTAACAAAAGGGGGACAAAGGGACATATATTTATTGATTTGTTTAGTTTCTACAAATCAGGTTTTTACTTTAGGAATAATCCACGTTGAACAATAATTAGGTGATAAAAACCATGGCTCAAGTTGGTCAATAATGAGAATACTTCCTGTGCCTTGTTCAGACTTGCGTTTAGTTAGTTCAGTGTCTAAAGTCTGCACAAAAACAGTATTGTCTAGTGAAACATTATTATTAAGTAATAGCTTTTTCTTTTACGAATAGTATATGCATTGCATTTGTGTCTTTCCTCGCTGCATCCGGTCCTCAGTATAAATGAACGCGTGCATAAGGAGTGGGGAAGCGTAGCACCCATCTGGGACGCGGCTGCACAGATGATGGGTGAAGAGCTCCACATCCTTCCTCTTTCTGCTCCATCTACTTTGTTTTTTTCCTCTGCGTTGACAAAGAACCCTTTTGCACACATCGCTCTGAGAAATCGTGTTCTTGTTTGAATGTTGATGGGGAAGTTCTCCAATCTGTCCACAAGTTTTTAGATAAAGTTTGTCATTGGTTAAACTAAAGAACTAAGATCACAGTAAAATTTTGACTAAATGGAAGATTTAAGAATAACTATTAGCTTTTTAAATGTCATGGTGTTTCATTTGTCTTTTTCATTATCATTATCACTGTAACTTCTAGTATCATGAAGTTACAGTGATTTAGTTGGAAACATTTAAATGAGTCATTCTCAAGAGGCGGTGTCAGAACTTACCAGATGATTTCAGTTCACATCACTTATTCAGTTCAATTCAATTCAATTTATTCTTGTCTAGCCCTAAGTCACAACAATAGTTATCTTTGAGGGTTTAAATCCGTTGAATGATTAAAAAAAATAAAAAATACATAGAGCCATTGGTCCATAAGGGGCAGATTACCCATGTCCATACATGCTGATAAATGTATATAAATGTAATTTTATTTTGTTGCTTATAGATGTTCTCATTAGTTTATGTAGTGGAATAAAGAAGCTTCTATCAAATGATTTGGAGCCAGGAGTCAGTGGGACTAAAACATTTTGATAAAACCAGATAATCAATGCACAGTATGTTAACCTAAGTCTCTCACACACTTGTCATGCCTCTCTGGAGGTAAGAGCTCTCCATCTTTTGAATGACTTCAGCCCCAAATGTAATTGTAGAATACGGGACACTCGCACTATTACTAATATAACCCTAACCCTTATGCAAGACACTTCACCCACATTGCTTAGTATGGTGTGTGCGTGTGTGTGTGTGTGTGCGTGTGTGTGTAGTTGGAGTTGGAGGGCTGATGGCTCAGTTTTGCAGTCGCGCTTCTCTCAGTCTGGTTAAGGGCAGCTGTGGCTACAATAATAGTTTATTGCCAACATGCATGGAGGTGATTAATAATGCCATGTGAAGCATCTTGGAGAGTCAAAAAAGTCAGATCGATTGTTGATATAATGTGACACTAGAAGGCCTCAAATGGATCTCAAAAAATAATGGTGTACATAAAAGTGAAATATAAGTTTGCCTAAACACGTGTGCATAGAAACAAATGATCAGTCACTCCACAAGGGCCTTATCAGTAATTTGTAAAATAAATCAACTGACACATCCAACCCCAGAGTTTTCACAGTTAATTAAAAAAGAAGACTCTGTACTTTCTAACTATAATTGCACAATATACGACATTAACATTCCCCTTTCCCCACACTGCGCCAAAATCAGCGAACGCAGCACATTTGGAAGTCTCTGGCAGGATGAGCGGGTCCTGTCATCAGTGCTATTTCATCCCTCTTCAAATACTTCCTGTGCAAACTCTCCTCTGGGGTCCATGCAGAGGAAGAGATCAACAGAGGTGGCCGTAAAGCAGCGGGCTGAGCTGTGGTCCCCTGGAGAAGGCTGTCAACCTGTAAACCACATCCACACGCAGCTAAAACATGGCTGCTAGAATGAGCAGATAAAGTGCTTGTGCATTTAGTCCAAAGAATTATTGATTTAAAGAGAATTTATTGTGTTGTTATGTAGTATTAAACTTCACCATCATGTGAACTGATAAAGATATAAATTGGCTTCATAATGCTGCCCCCTTTAAATGAAATATTTCACTGTAAACAAAGGGTTGTATTTTTTAATCAATCATTTTAATAAGTAGTGTTTTCTAAGTAACTTTGTTTGCGAAGCCTGAATGTACAATGAATTGTACTCCTTATTGTATACTAATTTTATCCATAAAATTTTTTGCATCATATGTGTATGCATTTTGTGCTTGTTTCTGCACCTGCCCATATGAACAATGGACGAAAATTAACTTTGAAGCTAAAATATGGCATATTTACATTTCTTCACACATATGTGCATAGTCCCATCAAATAAATAAACAAATAAAATATAATTATATATAATATCATTATACCCCATGGTTCTTATAAAACAGTTGTGGAGGTCCATGCTACTCTTTTGACGTAAAAAGCTGCTGTTATATTTTGTTCTTCTGCAACATCACCTTGCTTGTGGATAGTGTGAGACTGGCGATGGTTGAAGGATGGTGTAGATGGCAGCCTCACATCCATTACTGTGTCCCAGGGCAGTTGTGGCTTCTCTGACAATTGATATTCCTGCTCCCCAGAGTTACTCTGTTCAGATGCTCCATACCTTTACCTGGCAGTGAGCTAAACACAAACCAGTCCATGAGGCTTAGGCTTGTGGACATCTGGGTCCCGGCTGATGTCAGGGCTGGCGCTGACCCAGAGCCTGCCGCACAGAGAGCCTTTCTCAGAGGTCAGGCAGTGCTGTTTCTCTTCCTGTGCCTCTGTGACATCTTCCTGCCGTGGGAGCCTCTGGGAGCCATTGCAGGGGGCCGCAGCTCAGAGGAGGAGAGCAGCATTTGGCAGAAGACAAACTCCAATTAGTGGTAGTGGGACAGGTGGGGGCTGAAGGAGAAGCTCCAAAGCTCCAGACTGAACAGTGATTTATGGCCCAGTGCAGATGAATCAGGCTGACATCATTAAACCTCTGCTGGATTGTCCTCGTCCTCGATTACACATCAACAAGCTTCACTCCTCTTCCTCCTCTATGACTCCTGACCCCGCGCCCTGTATGTCTGCGCTGGCCATGATTTATCCCTGTGACAGACCAACAGCTGCTGGGGGCTCCGTGGGCAGAGGGTGGGCTACTATTTTCCGTGACTAATTGATAACAGACTTCAAAAAACACAATTCTGGAAAAATGACACCGCTCCGTGACAGCGGAAACACTGAACCAGAGCCTCATAACAAATGTCTTGGTATGACTGCGTACAGTGAGTGGGTCGAGTGTCATCTTCATGAAGACAGAAACAGATATTCAACAAGATCATTGTTCCACTGCAAGTGTCGCGTTTCTGCAGCCATTTGTCCAAATCTAAAACACATAACATTGGAAAACTAAAGAAATAAGTTGAATATTATTATTCTGGGTTTTATATAATTATCAAGTGGTACATTTATCCAAAACACAAATTGTTATTTTGATAAAATAAACTTTATTTTAAACTTTTTCAAAAAGACAAAACTCAAGCAAATGCACTGCATTTATGATTTACTTCTCAGTCAAGTATAAATATCAGTTTGTGTCCATAGTGTATCCAGCATGTATCCATGTGCTAGTATTGTGTAAGACCAGCTTTGACTTCCCTGAGAGTGAGGAGTTGTTCATGTCCGAGATTTTAGCGCCTCACGCGCAACGGAGCGAGTCCCCGCATTTTTAAACAGTCTCTCCCGTCCTTTATCTGCAAGACAAGATTCAGACAAGTGCATTTCAGTTTCACATTCACAGTTCAGTTATGTGCCATGACCCCTATTTTAAATACACATTTTTAATGATAATGAATGATCTGTTTTATGTTCTAATACATGCTACACTGCAGTCTACAGAAGTGTGCCTGATGATGCAGTGTGCCTCACCCCTTTCCTCTGGTTGCTGAGGCAGAAAGTGCAGATGGTCCTGGGCTTGGGCCCGCTCCCCTCGTGCGCTCCGAGGCACGGCTGTGCGTCAGCAGCGTCTCCACACAGCAGCACGTTGGCCAGATGAGAGATGTAGCTGGACGCGAGACGCAACGTCTCAATCTTGGACAGTTTTCTGTCCACGGGCTCCGTAGGAATGAGAGTTCTCAGAGCTGTGAACGCAGTGTTGACGCTCTGGGTCCGCCCGCGCTCTCTGGCGTTGGCCGCGCTCCGCTGCTTGATGACCGTAGTTTCTCCCTCCAGTTTATGGCCTGTTCTCCTGCGCTTCTCCGATGAGCCGCAGAAACTTTGTTCGGAGCTGCCGTCACTTTCGCTGCACTTGTCCTCGTCCTCAGAGGTCATGGTGAAGTCTGAATAGATCAAGTGCGTGGCCATAGGGCGCATGATGGCGAACGCCATGGTGACACAGCTGGGGCCAATTGTCCAAGTCAACTCCAGAGGGAAAAGGTTACAGATGCTAAACCTCCATGAGTGCAGATGTGCACATTCACAAGCAATCCATGTACCCGGACAGAGCAGAGAGAGCGGCCACAGCAGCAGAGGAATGGTCAGGAGCTGTCAGATGGACTCTTATAACCACGGGGCGGAGCCTTCAGGCCTGGGACACTCTGACCATCAGCCACAAGCTCAAACTGTACAAGAACATGTCCTCAGGCCATGTCTCGCTCTGTATACGGCTGCTGGATACAACCATTTGCATGTAAAGCTCATTGCGCCATTAGTAAAGATAAAAAGACGTCTCGCCCTCGCATGTAAATGTTGTTGGAAGGCCTGGCCAGCTTAGGTTTTTCCAATGGAAATGAAAAGGAAATGAACTAAGAAGTGAAGTGATTTGGATATCAGGAAGAAGGTTGTATCCAACAAACAAATGTGATGCCGGGTGACCATTTCATTTTTTGAATGCGATATATGGCATTCTCTGAAAACTCTGCACAATAAAGAGAAAGTTCATTAAACCGATAGAACCATTGACTTGTGCAGTAATAGCAGTAAAATGGGCCATTTAAGGAGTCCAAAACTTACGTTTATGAGCCTATAGTGCCTCTGTAACAGATGAACGTGCGTCTGAGGAGGTGAAAGTTATGTGAGACTAAATGGTCAGCAGATGACCCCTGGAATGACGAGGCTCCCGTTTGTTTGTTGGCCTGAGTTTAAAACAACAAAGAGGTGGCACATTTGTAGTGTTCTGTCTGAAGCTCTGCTCACTGCATTCAGCTGCAACAACACGCACCGCACCAACAACAGTTCAGCATCAACACTACACACACTGAGCAGGAGCACGTTGCATTTGTTCAAAAAAGACGTTTATTTTCACATAAATGATATATTTGACGGGTAATATCATATCTGTATATTACCCTACTATTACAATATCATTTTGAGAAATATATCCCCTACTATTACAATATCATTTTGATAATTATATTTTGGTGAATGGAAAGATAATTGAGATTGAGTTTCAATGGTTATGTAATGTATAATGGGCAAGAATGCATTTTTGTGTTTTAAGAACTGCATGATGCTTCAGTGCAATCTTTTTATATTTTCTAACCAAAATTGCTTTTTTGTTTGTTATATCACTATACGTCTGCAAAGCTATATGAGTTAACATTAGAAATATCAAATGCTAAAGTTTGTTGAACAATCAAATATTGGACATCAACATCTGGAAGCAGCAGAAATCATTTGGCTGACAAGTTGGTTTGGACAACCTCAACATGATTTACAGAACTTAAGTCAATTAAAAACACGTGTTGGGACAAGCTGGGCCTCATTACAGTGTTTAAATTAACATTTTTTTTTTTTTGTTTTTTTTTTTTTAAATTCATTTATTTGACAGGGACAATGTAGTCATACATAGCTACATTATGAAAATGCAGCTGATGCGACACATACAGAGTGTATAGCTAATGCTAATTTTCAACTCCTGTCCCTGGTTGAGCTTTTCCCTACAGTGCAACACATTATACAGAATGAATAAAATAGGCCTAGCCCTAAAACACATATTTACAACAGTGATCTAAAATTAAGACATTCCCCCAACCAATAACAACCATATGGACAAAATATTCACAAACGAGAACACTCACACACACACTCACGTACACACACACTCACACACACACACACACAAACACAAAATACTGTTTACAGGTTTAGAAATGGGTGCATGATTGGTTTGTTTTCAGCCACAGCTTGAGCTTTGAGGTGAACTCCTTGAATTCTAATATGTTTTTTAGGTCAGTGGGCAGCGAGTTCCACAGTTTGGCCGTTTTTATGGAGAAAGCAGACTGACCAAATGAGGTTCTCCTGTGTGGGATTGCACAGTTGTTGTGGGATGTACTTCTGGTGACTCTGTTGCTGGTCTGTCTCTGTATAAATGAACTTAGTGGCTCTGGTGCCAGGTTATTGATGCATTTGAATGTTAGTTTTAGAGAGTACAATAATATAAAATTTTCAAAACTCAGTAGATGACAGTTTTTGAGTATATTGCAGTGGTGATATCGGGTTGGTTTCTTGTCCATAATTTTTATTGCTTGATTGTATAATGAGCCGATGCACTTTGTGGCTGAGGGAGCTGCCTGGGTCCATGCTGTCATGCAGTATGATAAATGGGAGAAGATCATCCCATGCATGTACAGCAAGGCCGCTTGATTGGGAATAAAATGTCGTATTAGTTTGAAACAGTTAAGATTGCGACGTATAGTTTTGGAAAGTTTTTGTATATGTTTATCAAATTTTAGTTGTGGATCTAGAACCAACCCGAGGTAGTTGAATTCTGTTATTGTTTTGATTTTTTCATTTTGTAATATGATTTGGAAATTTGGATTTGTTTTTCTAATAGAAAAGCACATGGACACTGTTTTGGTAAGATTTAAGAGCAGGTGATTTTGAGTGAGCCACTTGCTCACCTCAGTCATACATGCAGATAACACGTCTGCTGCCTGCTCCGGGGTCTTTGCGGGTGCATAAAAAACAGCATCATCCGCATAGAGTTGGCACATGACACCTGGGCAGGATGATGGAAGGTCATTTATAAAGAGACTGAAGAGCAAAGGTCCTATTATGGATCCCTGTGGAATGCCCATTTGTGACTTTAAAAGTACAGATTTATCTTTATCTATTTTAACGCATTGTGGTCTGGTCTGGAGGTAGGATGTAAACCACTGTATTGCGTTTGGTGAGATGTTGAAAGAGGACATTTTAGACAGAAGTAGATTGTGGTTTACAGTCTCAAAGGCTTTTTTCAGATCCAGAAAGACTGCCCCCACCACTTCACCTCTGTCCATGGACATTTTCAGATTTTCAATAAAACAGCAGTTGGCTATTTCGGTGGAGTAACCTGCCCGAAAGCCAAACTGCTGTGGGTGTAGAAGGTGGATCTTGTAATTTTTTCTTGTTATACAATATATTCTAGTGAGAAGTGCAAAATAATGGACTTTGTCATGGAATTAAATGTTAAACCTCCCACCAATAGCTTAGTTAATAAATAACATGTACAATACTCAATGTAAAGCTAGAGATCTGATACTTGTTACTTTATTATTTTGTTTTATTTTAGCATAGAGTTATCACTCATTTATTTTGTATTGTGTGCTCCTCATTCCTATTGTTCTGTAACCGGTGATGCAACACTGAAATTTCCCCACTGTGGGACGAATAAAGGATCTTTTTATATTATTATGACATATTTAACATTTAACAGAGAAAGTTCCACAACTTAATTTTCACTTTTTTATTTCCATGGAACAATGCATCTATTTCCACATCAACATTGTTTGCATTTTTGTCTCGTAACAATCACAAACATGAACATATTTTATTGGAATTTTATGTGTAAGACAAACATAAAGCAAAAATATTTGCGTCTAAGTAAAATTGAAAAGGTCTGGGATAGAAAAGTCAAAACTTTGTGGAACTGCTCCAACAAGCTTCTGGAGTGTGTCCCTTTGTGCAGCTTATGCCCGTTCTAATCAGATTGGAGAGAGCTTGTGAACAGAAGTTTTTATATCTTTCCACAATTCCTGGATTGGGTTCTAACACATTTTTCATATTAAACCATCCCTTTGGAATGGCTCGAAAAGGCTGTAAAATAAGGGAAACTGTCCTGATGGTCAACCTTGCCTCCAGAGTCAAGTATTTTTGACTTAATCACCTTTCTTTTTAAGATTCCCACCATCCCATCAACTCTGATACTCTGCAGATGAAAAGCAATCCCACAGCATGATGCTGCCACTACCTGATTTGACTCTGAAAAAAATACAATATGTTGATCCTCTGTGACCACAGAAGGTGCTGTTGTCCATGTTGGGCATGTCCCGCTCTTGTCTGCTGGTGTCTTTATTTACTCTGAGGACAGTTTACAGTATGTGTGCAGCTCCTCTAGAACTCAGAGGCTTGTGACTGCATCTCTGACACGTGCTCTCCTTGAACTGCCTTGTCTTGGTAGGTTTTTAGTTCCGTCTCCCATGATCTGTGTTATACAAAACATGCAAAACCTTTGTATAATCTCATGTGTCAAACATCTCCCCAACTTTCTCACTGACCTCGGTGATGGTTTCGATTGGAATTCATGATGCTGTTTAGTGATCAGTATTCTCCTTCACAGAACACTGAAGTCATACTGAGATTATATTTTACTTTACTTAATATTACGTTGACATTTGACAGTTGTTAGGCAACTTCTAAGGCAATCTGTTGCACTCAGAAAAAAAGGGCTGGATACTTTTGCAAGCCACCCCTTCTGATTTATTATTAGTAAAATCTTTGAACATGTCATGGATACTTTTGCTTTATATTATATTTTTACACAATTGTCTGCCACTTTGTGCTGCTCTTTCTCATATAACGACAGCAAAATACATCTTCAGGTTTGTGGTCGTATGTCGAGATAAAATGTGGAATATTTCATGAGGCTTATTTAAGGCACTGTTGCTTTATTGGCCTGTTAGATTGGACTCTTTTTCCAATCTTTACCACAATTATTTTATAGAATTATTGTATGTAACAAGAGACATCAGAATTGTTGTATTGAACCTTTTAGTACCAAAATAGTTTAAAAAGTTAGCACCATGACCAAGCATGAATGTAAGGCTAAATGAGCTTGAAACTAAAACATTGAACTCATCAATGTACAATAAGCAAAAGCAGGTCTTTATCGTGGCTTACACAGCTCTACAGATGATGTGTTAAAAGCATCGTCACCCATGCACAAATGAAACTCCTGCATTCTCCAGTGAGGAAGGCTGACTCTCTGAGCGGAGCTGGGGTCAGGGGGTGGATACAGCGTTGCAAATCTGGCACACATTTCACGGCTGCAGCCAGTTTGAGTCTGGAGGAATTCCGGATGGAGAGCCGTGAGAAGCCTACACAGCCCAAACACCTAAAGCTCCCTCCCGCTGAAGGATTGGGCCGTAATGCCTGTTCAGAGTGGAACAAATGCCCTGCGCACTAACCAGAGATCATTTTTCAACCTCAATTTGGGGAAGACAGAGCAGACAACCTGAATTTATCAATTTATAAACACTTTAGATGATTGTTCATGTATAAGTGAGAGTGTTTTAGTTTCTATCAATCTTCTTTCAAAAGTGTAATAAAACAATAAATCAGTAAACAAATATCTTTCCAATAAGGCCAACATTCTTTTTCCATAAAACAATTCAACACCATCTGAACACAAACATGTAATAGATAAAGATTATTACTATATACTTTATTCGTCCCACAGTGGGGAAATTTCAGTGTTGCATTACAAGTTATAGAACAGTATGAATGAGCAATACACAGCTAAAATAAATGAACAATAGCTATACTAAATAAAATAAAACAATCTCTCTAACTTTAGCATCAAAGAACAAGTATAAAATCTCTATCTTGAATATAATGATAATAATAACTACTAAAGTATAACAAGATTACTACTAAAATTAATAATAGAGCTCATTTAGCAATTCTGCTCCTTTGGCACCTAAAGGCTTAATCATTAAAAGAAAAAAATCATTGAAAAAGGACCCTGTTTAAGACAAACATTTTTTATTTGTGATTTAACAACAAAATCTGCTTTCAAAAGTGTTTCATATTTTTAAAACCATATTCTGTCAGTAAAGCCAACACAACCATGAGATTCTATCATTGGGTGAAAAAAACCACCGCACAAATAGTTGACGTTATAAAAGATTTAATCACATATTTAAGAACCGTTTATTTGATGTTGCGGCTGTCTCAAATTGCCACAGCTGCTACTGGGAAACATGAAAAACTCCAAAAGACAAATGACACGGAGGCCCCTGAACCATTTATTATAGCAACCACAAACACTTCCTCATCTTAACCTCTTACTCCCAAATCCCCCAAGTCAAACCCCATGAGCCACCCAGGGAAAGGGCTCCATGGGGCAACAGGTGCAGCTTTTTTCACTCTTTCTCCATCTTTTTTTCCATCCTTTTTTCAGTGTTGCGTGTCGGAAGCCCTTTGAGGATATGGTTACTTCCAGACAGTGAGAGAGCCACAGGAAATCTTCTCACACGCGACGATTCAGAGCAGAAATGTAGAGCCGTTTTGGACCTTGGGGTTTCCTCCATGGTCTCCGAGGGAAGGTGGTGGGCCGTTAGGGGCTTGTCTTGTGACGATGGTGATGTCGGACAGAGCTTGGATCTAAGATGAAATGCTCAATGCTTGATTTGCCTAATGCACAGTTCCTTCCTCTCGTATTGTTGCTCAATGATTCCAGAAGTAGACGGGCCTCTCAAGGTCAGCATCAACACAAAATATAAGCAAACAATACAACAGATAGATATTTCCTATAATGCACCACAGAGACAAACGCACCTTCATTGTAGGAATGTAACGATTAATGACATCAAATCCAGTTTATTCACTTATCGTCAACTATATGTGACATTTGTTTAGTCGTTGACTGCTCTAAACGGAACAGTTACCTAACAGTTTGAACATGAAATACATGTCTCAATTTAATAGTGAGACGAAGTTTAGAGGGTATAAGAGGGTATAAGAGGGTATAAGAGTCAAATCTGGTTGGATACACTATCCAACATATAAACGACAATGCAAAAGGTTACAATGATAGTTGTGGATGTTAGTATTCACAGTGGGCTTTAACTGTGATGCCTTCGACAGCAGGAGAAGGTAATAGGACGGAGCCTATAGAACAGATGGCGCTCACTAAGTCTGTGTTATTATGAAACATCACGGTGACAGAACACAAGATGCTGCTGAATCTACTCCCGCTTTAAGACGTCTCTCTCATCATCTCAAGAAACTTTTAAATGTAAAATTTGTGCTAAAGACTCAAGCAGGTATATATGTTTGTTTACATCTTTTAAGTAAACTCAGCAATATTGCTGACGTTCAGATCATAACACAGCATGTTTGTACTAGGGCCAGGGTTTAGTATTAGGTGGATTTTTTCATACAGCATGAGTACTTATGGAAAACACGGTAAGATCGAGTAAAAAAATTACAGTTCAATTATCTTTAATTTTGTGCGTTTAAGCTGTAGAGTTATGTCTCCCTCTGCTGGCACAATTACGTGCCTACAGGTTGGACTTCAATTCCTTATACATTGTGTAGCTCCCAGTTTACTTATGGTACATTTCTTTGATTTAAATTACACGTTTATACACACGTTTTAATGACAAGCAGTGGGATTATAATAAAGACAGAAATGATTTCATCTTTCATCAGCCTGGGTTCTTGAAGTGTACAGCCAATTCTCTGGCATGAGTAAAAGTGGTTTATAGCAGACTTTATAAGAACAATTTAAAGACCATGTTTATTTTAAATGATTAAAGATAAATTAATATACATACAAAATAATGAAACATTACTATTTTTGTTAAATGTTGAGTTAATGGACAATAACTCAACTGAAAGTTTAGTTCAACATTCATCAAATTATTTTGCAGTCATGATATATATATACACACATATATATAAAAAATTCTCACCTTTCACCCTCCGTGGGCGGTTATCTCTCTCTCTCTCTCTCTCTCTCTAAAAATGTAACATCTTATAGATGTTAATTTAATAATAGCTGTTAGCATATCTGAAAAATATCATTTATTTTACAGAGTTGTGTCATTGGGTAACCCATTTTTATACATCTGCTCTAAAACAACAAAGCAGAAAGATCAATTAATGTAAATATCCATTATTATCTTGTTAATCCGTCATTGTTGGATCCATAGAAATATCCAAATCCATGCTGGTTTCAAAGAGGAAATTAAAACTACTTCCATCATTGAAGATCCGGCGTTGCAGATCCCAAGTATGTCCTAAGATCTGCTATGTTAGATTTGATGATTTTGGCTGGGATGGATTGCATTTGTAACCGTTGATAAGCAGCAAACCTGTGGCAGCCTCCAAAAGAGTAGTAGTAATTTCCTCCCTTACTTCCTTTAATCCACAGAACATCAATGGGGGGAACCACGTGGATTTCCGGAGTGTTCTGGACAAAGATCAAAACTTTTTGAATTAGTCACAACATGAAATCTTAATCAATCTACTTCATATTTAATATGAAATGGTGCCTTTCAACATTGCACATTAACACTCTCTTCAGTCAGGAAAGAATAAGCAAAGTTGAACATTATGTTAGGGCCAACGATTGTAATTATAGGGCAGAGCAAGGATGTTTATTTTTTTTTTTTACTTTAATGACTTATTCTAAAATAAGCAAGATAAATGAGAGGCACTAAACTCTATATATAAGGCATATTGACATATTATAGACAAGTCATCAATAACTTACAAAAAGGGGCCCCAGACAGCAAAACCATAGCTATATAACTAATGGGCCTGCACTTGGTACAGTACACATAGTAAGTGATTCTCTAGAGATTATGCTGGCCCCATTGATTGCTCTTTATCTTAGAGAAATCCTAAATCCTAACCTTGACCTTAAAGTACTTCCATGGTGGAGCATATCCCATCCTGTAAATTCATAACTCTATTCAAAATGTAAACACTTATAAACAATAAGTGTATGTATTCTGTTATTATAAAGTGTACCTTTATCGTTTCCATTAAACTCTGGACTTTGTGCTCGTCCAGCTCTGGGGGAAAGGGTCTGATCAACACGTGAAGCGGCACATTGTGGACTTCACTCACGCTGTCCGAGTGAATGGACGACATTTCTGAAGGACGTTTGGATGAGAAAACTCTATAATGAATAAGAAAGCAGTTTTGAAATCTGGATGAGAACATCAGCACGGAAGATGTGGCGTTGTTTACTTCTTCTTCCGGGTTTGGAGCGGTGGAGGGGGGAGGGGGTAATACGTCATTAATCTGACGGCACGCCCACCCACGTGCGTTCCCTACCAAAAAAGTAACGCTAAGGTTTTATTGTATTTACTCCATAGCTAACGCAATAAGCTCGTTATTGCGTTAGCTATGGAGTAAATTGTTAGCCAATTAGCATGTAGGTTAGCTACTTGACATTTTTATTCTTTGACAAGTGACATATCTATAAAGAAGTGTGTGATTTAAACAAGGTAAGATTTGTATGTGGATGCTTTTAAACTGTTGAAAACGTGTGCTAATATCCAATCTATTTATTAAAAGTATATCAAAGAAGAGGTTTGTGGATGCATAAAGAGGCGTGGACCCGGAGACTCAAGGATCTATAATAATACAGTATCTGGTGAGACTGTTGTTTTTCCAAAGACCATTTAAATCTAAATGAGATCATTATTAGGATTTCTTGGACAGCAGTGGTATTCCATGACTATACGGAATGATCACAAATGCTTTGAACAACAATTACTGCCCTTCATGTTGATCCATTGGTCACAGGGGATAAGTTTCAACATGGAATGGCAAGACTAACTTTAGCATGTAATCATTAACAATAGAATTAACAATATCCTGTCACAAAACATTTCCTTTTTAACTGGGGTGTTGCAATTAACGTTTCACCTTGTCGCCAAATGTATTGTTTAGAATTCAGCCGTTTCCTCTTTAAGCTTTGGAAACTTCAAGGTTTGGACGTCACAGTTTCCAGACTGAAGTGTAGGCTGTTGTGTAGTTGTGCATATTTATTCTTAGTCATTTTTAGTAATACCATTGACAAGTGAAGATAGTGGTTAGCAATTGTATAACAAAATGTTGCTTATGTTGTTGTAACTTTGTAGTCATGTGAATGATATATGCTTATATAAGGAATGTAGAGCTATTAGTGTCCCCTATAAATATGAAGCAATAATCAATTCATTTCCATTTATTTTTGTATCGCCCTAAATCACGACAGCCGGACTTACAAACTGGTCAATTCAACAGTCCGAACACAGGAAATGCAATAATAACAAACACATATGAGCCATTGGTCCATAGGGAGAGGGATGACACATATCCATAAATGTCAATACATTTCCCAAATCATAACTGCTCTTTACCTCCCGCCTCGGAAAGGAACAACTCAATATTCATGTGCAGCTTCTTGGGCCCCCACCTCCCACCTGGTACGCTGTATGTGTGAATGAATGTTGTGTGTGAGTCATAGCTGTCCTGTCAATCTACCTTATGGTAATTGCATAAACTTGAACCACTTTTCTTTATAGTTACAAATCTAGCTGACATCACTGTAAACGTGTAATTATGAAACGTCGACTAAAATGTAATGTTTTCTTCCTATAACCGCAATCTATTTGTGACTTATTGAAACAATGTGATAAACCTCCTCACAATTCATTTACCCATATTTCAATTCCAAATGACTGCACGAACAAACTACACAAATAAACACACAATAAAAGAATAAGAAAAGTGTTGCATAAACCCTATTGATAATTACATGTTTGTATCTATGTGACCTATACTTACAAGTCCATTTGTTTCCATGAAAATGTTACTTAACGGGAACGTTCCAATGTATGCTATTCCTCCTATAGATGCTCTCTACAGATCTGAACTATTACTTGTGCCTGTTTGTTTCCAATGGGAAAAGAAAGTTTATTTTAATAGAATAAAACACACAGAGTACAGTAATCTCTCCATAGTTCTTAGAATATGTATACTATTGTAATTTGTGACATCTGAAACCAAAAAAGCAGTGATTAGTAAATCCTTGCCTAACTCTACAGAATAGGAAAATACTATTTGCTGTCCTACTACACTCTGTCTGACCCTCTTCTGTCACGTCACTGCTGTATAATAGTCAGTAAAATATCTCAATTAAATAGATTGAGTTAGTCACACAGGCAGCGGTGGGTCATGGAGGAGCAGATTTCCTTTTAATATTTGCGTCAGTCCCCATAGGATTGTCACACTCCTCACAGCTGAAGAAAATTACCTGCCAGGCTTTCTGTGAGTGAAGCGAGCTATATTTATTCATGTCTTTTACACATTGACATGCTTTTAAAGTGATAATTACTGTGACGCTCTTTAGACTAGAATGATGAGAGAGTGAGCTTGTGTTATAGCAGCAGGAGATATGTTCCACTGAACCACAACTAATCAACATCATACTTTGAATAAACTGGAGCTGAAAAAACAGAGACATCGTCTGTCTCCAAAGTTAAACCTTTCAAATCCATTATACATTTTCAATGTTCAATGTTGAAAGAAAAAAATAATTAGGTGGTGTTTTTACTATGGAGCTGTATTCTGAGTAGCTTTTGCAAGAGACTCCAAGTATTTGCGTTAATCTTTTTCCATTTGAATTAATTTATGCGCATGCCCGATCTTTGGTTAACTAATATTTTTTTAAGCCAACTAATTTCCCGCAGTAGGTCATCAGATGCATGTTTGAGTACATTCATTTTGCTCAAACTACTCCAAACATAAACATTACAAAACACAGAGCACTGAAACTGCATCTACACATGAAAGCAAAACGGAGCTATTTAAAAACTACCCTCCTTGACTTTTGCTTGAATACTGATGACAAGTTGGATGTCTAGGATGCATAAAAATGTGATTTAGAGACAGGACTTCAAAAAGAGCGGCATACGGACGAGGTGGACCCGCTGCCAGCCAGAGACAAGGAAGCAGATGGGTTTTTCACAAACAACACAAACATCAAGAAGAGCGAGCTAAAGAGCCTGGCAGTCTCACTCGATGAAACAGTGAGGAACGAAGGCTTCTAATGAGCTGCTCTCCTGTGATGCACAATCTGAGAAGACAAACTGTTCGCTCTTAAAGCAACAGTCACACTCCAGTGGTTTGGGATTGTTAGGATTTAGTTTTTTACATATCTTTCAACAGCTTTTTTCTAGTTAAATTTTTTTTGCTATTTAGTTCAAGGTCAACTTAACTGTGGTATTGTGAGAAGGCTTGCGGTGCTGTATAAAGATTTATAACACCACCATAACTTGTATATTGTATGTCGATGATGATAATAGCAATGGACCTGTGAAAATTAAATTAATTGCACCAATCAACAAATAAATACAGATTTGTTTGGGAGAAATGAGAGGAATTTGAATGTGTTCGTCACTCACTTAACCCTCCAGGCACTTACATCAATTATAAGAAATTAACGCAGATATGAGGTTGAGCAAAGATGTAGCAGTTTCCTAGTCGTTTGTACACTCATTATTATTATACCTTTATAAGTAGAACGGACAAAAGAGCAGCTTTGGCAGCAAACAAGTTGAGGAAATGGTAGTAGGAAATGACACAGAGAAATACAATTTGAGAGATCTTGTATTAAAAGTTTATTTCAACAGAGATGCTAAAACCTCATGAGACAAATGATTAATTGCAATCCCATTAATTACTTTTGTAATGTTTTTCAGCAGCCCGGCCAACAGAGGGCGCCAGATGTCAGGTGAAGAGTCAGAAACCCTGCACAGAGGTACGGCCACTGTCTGTAACATGTTGCTTTGTTATGAAGTCAACAGGAAGGACACCAGTTGATTTCAAACCTTATTGAAATCTTCCACTTGCTGCTTTATACACGTATTATTGATTCGCCCTCATTGCATGGGTGGAAATCAAGACTTCGGATCTACATTTGCATAGTGATGGGTTGTGATTAATGAAGCTCGTTGAAGTGGTGCTCTCGCCCAATCAGGAGGCTGTTGTTTTTTCATAGCCTCGGAGAAGATGACAGCTCCTGGGGTCACAATCTTTGAAGTGTCAGAGCAGCGGGCTCTGTTTTTGAGCTTGTTTTCAATAATTTAGCTGATGTGCGCGGAGGCTGTGACAGTGGGAGGAGGAGCACGCCTGCAAATGCCTGAGTGATGCAAGACCCCAGTGTCCGGACAACACTCGGCTATAGTTTGTTTACTGAGAATGTATAAGAAGGAGCACAAAGAGGTATAATTCAAGGCTAAATATCAAATGAACGCAAGGGAAGCGTTTATCCAGCTGTCAAAAACATTTCCATAATTTGGTTTACCAGTGTATAATCATCACATCATCACTGTTATTTTATATTTGTGGCCTAATCAAAGAGATCCATTGTAGTTTAGACATTTGAAAGAGCAACTCTATTACTTTCCAAAATACCGGAAAATAGGATAATAGCAGGAAGACTAAACCCAGTCACAAATGGAAGCAGTCAAGTGAATTTATTGATATTGACCAAAATGTCATGGCTGAAGTTCAAATTTACCACATGAATTAACCCCAATCTTCCATACTGTACAGCAATTGGAATGAAATAAAAACATCACTCCCCTATTAATGATATGAATGAAATGTATAAAAACCTTTGGAAATAAGCCTTTACCAATATATTTATAACAATTGTGTGGCACTAAACCTGGTCTCTGCTATGGAGCCGCAGTAGACCTCAGTACTTGTCAGTGCTCTGTATGCAGTCCCTGTCCTGTACCTGCTTCCTCTCTCCTCTGCTGCTGTTGTGACACACAGCACACCCACGGGTGATGTAATTGGATTCCACGGGTCCCCATTTTACAGTCCATTGCCATGTAATTAAATCAGTTATTTACTTTCATCATAAAATCTGATAAGGGCCAACATCTGCCAGGTAAACTTTGACTGAGCACTGCCAATGAATGCTGATGTGATGGCAGATATACTACAGGACAGCTTTCATTCACCTTTTTAAATCGGATCATGTCAAAAATTTCTCCAGGGATGTTCGCAATAGTGTGAGCTAATGCTATTTTTAAATGCATTTCTACACTAAAAAATCAACAAAGATACAAAGCTATATTCTGCACGTT